AAGGGTCAGGTCCAAAAAGTATTTGGTTGGCTACCTTCTTGGCCAGTGAATCAGCTAGTGAAGACCTTTCGATGTGGCGTGACCTTTGATCGATCTTAAAGTGGCCACATTGCTGATGCATACTTCGGCCAAAGCTGCGTGACATTCTAGTACTAAACCTGACTAAAGTCGTGGTCTGTTCAGAGTCAGTACTGCTTGACTGCTATAGCTTGTAGATTTAGAATAAGTCTCTAGAGACTTCTGAAAGATGTGCAAGTCCTGAACCGACATGTGGATGCAAAAAACTCTATTGACAGGGTTCTCTGCATGTTTTCTAATGTCTGGCATTATTAACATTTAGGAGAAGTTCTAACTTAGCACAATATGATTTTAAGCGCTCAATAGCTGTGAAGCAAGATTTTAGACTTCTACAAAATGAACAAGAATAGTTGGGGATGCTGGGGTGTTTATCTTAAAAACATATGCGAAAATATGCGTTTTAATGTTGTTGCTTGTTAAAACAACTAATATAATCTCACAAAAGACTTTTTCAATCCCGTTAAATTGGAAATGTGATATTCACGGATTCAGAAAACGTTTTAATTATACACCCTACCAGGCCACATTTGTCTTAAGAAAGTTTTGTAATACGTCAAGTTGGAAAAAAAAGAAGGCTGTTATTCTTTTTCTTTATCTTTATCGGTTGCAAGCAGGTAGGGTTAGGTTTGGCCCAGAACACTGCGGCCTCTTGGGTCTATTGTATTCTCCTGTTTTTCCCGTATTCAGGTACTATCTTTGGAATAGTCCTGTGTCTTTGGATAGGTTAAATAGGTTCCCTACCAAATGTTCCTGGGGTGTTCTTTCCGGTTCAAGGCCGAAAAGGATGAAACGTTGCCCAGTAAGAGCTTCGCATTCGAAGATCGTTGTGTAATCCCATTACATGAAGGTGTTTCAGCAAGCAGTGCCCCGTTAGTAATCCCACAATGGTGGATATCTGAGGCCTTACGAGTTGTAGTGCCTCAGTAGCGATACGTGGGTTTGGGACCCTTAGCATAAGCTGACTGATTCTGTGCCCTCTTATCTGTTGCCAGTGAATTTGGTGTTTTGTGGTTACCCACCTGTTCACTGCCTGTCGAGCAGAAGTTTTGCTTATTCCAAATACAGGTTCGGGTAGATCTGATCCCTCTTTAGCAAGTTCATCAATATTTTCATTTCCTTGGATACCTTTGTGCCCTGGTACCCACGCTAGTTTTACCTTGTTGTGGGTTGCCAGATCATTTAGTATTCCAAGGCAGTTCCAGACAAGCTTTGACTTGATTCTGTTTGAATCAAGAGCCTTTAAAGCTGCTTGGCTATCTGAGAGAATTAGGAAGGTTTGTTTTTTGTACTTCCTTCCTATTTTATATATCCCAGTGGGTTCCAGTTGTTGGAGATTTTCAGTCTGTATGCACTTATTTCTGGCCTCCTTTATGACTAGGTCAAGGAGTAGGAGATTTAGAATGATTTCCATAGAGACTGTCGGTGTACTTCTCAGTGCTCCTATAATAAAAAGGCATGCCAGCCTCTGTACTCCTGAGAGGGTATTGAGGGCTGTTTTCTGGTTTACTTTTGGGTCTTGTTACTCTATACAATTATAAATTAAGAAAATTATGGTATCTAAATAGAAACCTCAGAGTATCACAGAAGTAAGTATAGTAAACAAAAACAAACCTGGTGATAATTTGTATGGATATTGAAAGTCGATAAAATTTTCCTAACTTTCTTTATGCTAAATGGTACTATACTTTCACTAAAAGGTTAAAGTTTAGCAGAACTTCCTATTTTTAAAAGTCCTAATACATTGAAATATGAGCTTTTTTAGGATGGTTTCTATTGCTTTAAAGAAAACATTCTGGTTACGCCGCTGTTACCTAAGCCTCAATGTCTATCGATTTGTATGTGATGAGATTATGATGAAAACGGTTACATAATGGCGTCTTTGTATCGATATTTCTCAATTCTTTTCATCCGGTGTCGATTCCTCCGCCTTTAATAAACTGAATTTTTTATTGTGGAAGATACAGCATTGTATGAAAAAACGTTTCCCTAGTGTGATATATTTAATTAAAAAAAACTGTTTGATTCTGATTACAATAAATATCTCATGAATTAACGTTGGTTTTGTTTTATAAACTAGTAACATTTGCACCAGTTTTAGTTTGTTTTAGAAATGTTTAGCATTTTGTTAAATATGGTGGCTAGACGTTTTAGGTTTATTTTACTAAGCTACCAGTGGAGTATGTATTCCATATCCATATCCGTTAAAGTGGAAGACTAGGGTTGGCTTCGTGTAAAAATATGGGTAACAGGTATCTAAAGTAACACGTTGGACTTATAAAGGTAATAATGATATTTTTTTGACCCCACGTTAAAGTTAAAGAGTATTCATCGAAAGCAAAATTGCTATTGATGTGAAATCATCCCACAATAATATGTATACAACTGTTTTTTAAAGTGGTAATATGGAAATAATATTGAGTTTTTGAAGCCTATTTCCCTAATTACGAATTTCAATGTGAATGAATTTAAGGTGGGTCAAAGCTATATCATACCAAGCAATAATTCTACAGGAGGGTCTTGATTCAACTAATTTATGATAATGTATCTCTGTATAAATTTTCTTTTTTGAAAACTTTTGGATAACACAAAGTAATTAAGTTTAAAATGTTCTAAAAGTTCATTAATTATTACTTTATAGATGATGTAATACTTATATTTATTTATAATACTACTACAGCAATTAAATCAAAATGGATACATAAATCAAGGGATGTGACTGGAAATAAGAAATTAAAAAAGTTTTTTATGAAGAGCAATATTTAAAAGTAGAGCATTTTAAAATGTTTGAAAATGTTATGCCAAGACCTCGCATTTATAATGATGTCCTTATGATGTAATAAAATTAAAAAAAAATCTATTTATGGAATTTTCGGTGGTATATTTAAAATATCTTCTCCTTTCTAAATCCTTTAACAACAGTTTTGAAAAAAAAAGGCGTCCTCCTGATAACAACCAGAAATAGGAAAGTTAGGGAAAAGATGGATGAAGATAGAGAGAATTTGACTAAAGGTACATTTACATCTGACATTTATTGCATGAGATTTATGTCTGACAGTTGTTTAGTCTAGTGTAAACACATAAAAATGTCTCTCGGAGATATATATTTGAGAGTTTACAGAGGACTAAACAACTGTCAGACATAAATCTCATGCAATAAATGTCAGATGTAACCGTACCTTAAGAAAAGACATTGTTTACGAGATATAAAGTAGTAGGTTGGATGATTTGAACATGTTAATGTTAAAAAAATATACAAAATATTCAAAAAATTGAAACGAAATTAGATATTTTCCAATCTCAACCTCAACGAGAAGTCCTAAGCGAACCTCCAACTCCTACAGCAAATTATCTACCATAAGCAACTGATATTGATGTAGTAACTGACAACTTAGAAGCAAATTGTTCCAACGCTAACGAAGTCAAGGCCCAACCACCCATCAAGGAAGTTGTTACAAAAAAGAATACTTTAGTTATCACTAGAGCATCGTCAGTGTCATAAACGCCTAAGAAGTCAGTGAGAAAAGGTGGTCCTTACCAGGGGTATCCATAAAAAATAACAGTCATATTGTGTATATTGTGCAATTGTTCATATTAATGTGCTGGCTATTTGTAGTTTAATAGTGTTTAGTAATTTTTCAACTCGATGTTTTTTTGTCGTAAATATAAATGAGAATAAGTGGAGTTAATATTATGGTCTCTTGTATTGCATCTCAATGCTTTTAAAGATTTAGTTTATTGGAGTAACGGAAACTTGGCTTTCAAATAATATTCCCCACAATATTATACAACTTAATGGTTATCGACTATTCAGAAGAAATCGGGGAAGTAGAGGAGGTGAATTACTAATCTACATTAAAAATAACATTAAAGCCAACATTATTCAGGGGCTTAATTTAAGTAACACTGAAGAATTGTGGGTTTCCTTTGTATTAGATAAGAAATATGCATTGGGGATTTTTTATAGACCACATTCCCACACAGTTTTTAACTTCCTGGAAAACTTAGTATCGTTGTATCTAAATTTGACCAAATAATCTTATTAGGAGACTTTAATATCGATGCAATGGTGCCTGATATTTCTGGCTATAAGAAGATTGATACTATCTTATAGTCCTACGATTTATCTTAGTTAATTCATGAACCGACGCGGTATGGATCGACAAGTGCTACTGCTTTGGTCTTGGTAATATGCTCTAAAACTATCAAGGGCAAAGTATCTGTAACTGATGCATCTATTGTAGATGTTCATTTTATGTCATCTCTAACATTTTCCAATAAAGATTCGAAAAAAGATCCCAGATCGGAATTTACTGCTGAATTAGAAGCAGTTAATTTTGATAAAGTTTTTCATTTCCGCAATATTGATAATAAAATTGATTATTTTAATAACATCCTTTTCGTCTTTTTTGACTACCACGCACCGACCTTCTGCTCCTTGAATCACATACACTATTAAGAAAATGATGTCCCTTTGAGACAGAGCATTGTCAAGGTTTAAGAGAATAGGTGTTCAGGGTCATTGGGAGTATTACAAAAAGTTAAGAAATTAAACAAAGAGAAAAACAGGTTTATCTAGAGTTTAAGTTTAGAAACTGCGAAAATCAAAAAACATTCTCACAGGAATTACGTAATCTAAATCTAAGAACCATTCCTTGCCTAAAACTAAAACTAAAAAATCCAAAAGAAATTAACGAGTATTTTGTAAATGCATCGATATCTGATTTTCCTGTGGGTAATTTAACAATCGACTATTACAAAAATAATATATTGCTTAATATTATTTCTTTTAATTTTTCATTAACGAACGAACTAGAAATCTATAGAACTATTTTATCGTCTTTTGCAATTTTTGGTTTAGGTTTCTTGGTTGGACCTCCTTTGTTTGACTTTTTGGCCATTGTTGGAGTCTTAACTTTTGCAGGTCAAGCAATTGATGTGGCAATTTTTGAAGCAACAGTTCTCTTATCATCTTTTTTTGCTTTGGTGGCTTTCTTTTCTGCTGTCGGAGCTTTCTTTGATTTCGCTGATTTCTTGGCTGCTTTTGGTTTTTCTCCGGTTGTTGTTATACTACGTTTTACTGTCGTAGTTTTTTTAGTTTTTCCACTGGCGCTATTCTTTTTTTCGTTAGAACTAGGCTTAGCTGAACCTGAAGATGTTGCAGAAGCTAACTTGAAAGAACCGGACGCACCTTTACCTTTCGTTTGCACCAATGAATCTAAAGTAACTAAATCATTTAGATACTTTTTAATGAAAGGAGCAACCTTTTCTGCATCTACTTTGTAATTGGCTGCAATGTATTTTTTGATAGCTTGAAGTGAAGACCCTCCACATTCCTTTAAATCTTTAATAGCGTTATTGACCATTTCTGAAGTAGGTAGATGAGATGGTTTCGTTCTGGGGTTGTTAGTTTTTTTTCTCCTTTTTCGGCGACGAAGCTTGTGGAGAACTGGAAGCTGATGTCGCAGACGTTGCTGAATTCTGTTAATCTATATCTGCCATATTTCCTCTTTTAAAAAAATATAACGTCTCACGAAAATACACGGTGTTAATTTATTCACTGATAGAATAAAAACGAAAAATTTGAAATTTTCTAAAGCTGTTGAACCAGATCTTATAAGTGTTAACATGTTACTGTACTCTTGTCCATTTATTTTAAAATCTATTTGTCACATTTTTAATACTTGCATTACCCATAATGTTTTTCCGTCTACCTGGAAAAAATCTCTAATCCATCTAGTGCCCAAAGTTGGTAAATCGTGTTTTTGCGAAGTGCTTCGAAAAAAATTGTTCATGTTCAAATAAGTTTACACATTAATAATTATACAACCATACCTCAACAGCAATCAGGAGAAGGGTGCAAGCTGTTGTTGTGTACAAAATAGTATCGCAATATTTGACAGTTGAGAACGGTGTTCCCCAGGGCTCTGTCTTGGGACCGACCTTTTTCAATTTCTACACTTTTGAATTTTACAAATCACTGAGATACTCCACTAGTCATTTTTATGCTGATGATACTCAACTTTATATTTAGACCGTCACCCTGGAAGATACCCCCTTGGACGGTAATTTGGATTTGATTTGCATCGTTTCCTACAGCTAGTTCTGTCTTCCACGTGGTCATCATATTCTTCAGCAGCTCAATGGTGGTTGGACTTATCTTGTACAGACTTAGGCTTTGTAACAATCAAGAGTGGGGCACACTGTCGAACGCTTTCTGGTATTCAATAAAAGCAGTGTGAAGGTCCATCTTGTTCTTGATCGCGTGTTGTGTTAAGGTGGTGTCTATAGCAAGTTGTTCTTTGCAGCCTTGAGCTTTTCTCTTGCACCCATTTTGTTCTTCGGCGAGAAAGTTATGGTATGTGAGATGTTCGTATATTTTGTTGCATATTACGCCGCTTAATGCTTTATACATTGTGGGAAGACATGTTAAAGGTCTCTACTTCGACGGATCTTTTGTTGGTTGATCAGATTTTGGGAGAAGGTATGTGATTCCTTTTGTTAATAACGTTGGAATGGTGTCAGGATTTTTTAGAAATGTATCAAAGATGCTCGCTAATTTTGGCCAGACTGATTTAAATTGTTTTAGCCAGAAGTTTTGGATCTTCTCCGGTCCGGGGGCTTTCCAATTAGAGGCTCTTGTGAGTACGTTTTCAAGATCTTTTTCTAAAATTTCCGGTGGTGGCATTATCGGTATTTTGTCTCTTGTCTTGTTCTCGTCTTTTATCCAGGCAGCTGAGGTTTTGTGTATAGCAGGCTTTTCCCAGATATTTCCACAAAACTGCTGTATTTCCTGCGGATCGCGATATTCTGCGTTTTGATTCGCCGTTCTGTTGTTAGACATGTTTCGATAGAATCCGCGTTGATCTTGATTAAACATTCTGTTTTCAACTTTACGTTGGTATGCCTCCCTGTATTTTCTCAATCTGCTGGAGAAGACTTTTAATTTTTGTTTGAGAAGGTCCAAAATTTCTGCAATCGAGTGATTATTTTCATTTGTGTATCCTTTAATTATTGTAGCGCGTTGTTCTGACCGCTGGCTATGTTTTTGATTTTTATTGTATTCTGTGAGATGGCCTATCTCTTTCCTAAGGATGCTTATTTTCCTTTCTAGTCTTGACTCCCATTGTGGTTTTAGAGCGATGGCATTTTTATTTTCATTTCTCTCTGCATTGGTTGGTGTTCTTCCACATAGTACAGCCGTGGCTATAGCTGCGCAGTATATGAGACTGTGCACATCTGTGATCTATTGACAGTCTTGAATTTTGGAAATTAGTAAGCTGTTTATTATTTTTATCTTTGACTTTGCTTTAGTGTCATTTCTAATTTTTGGAATATTTGGCCTTGATGCAGGATCCATTCCAGAGTATTTTTCTAGAGCTTCGCTTAAGGCATCTAGTGCTTCCTGGTCTTCCGCTGATTGTTCTACATCTTGTGGTGGGTATCTATTCCTACCGTCCGGCTCTACCTTCTGAGTTGGAGTGATTCCTAGTTCTAGCTCTACTTCCGCTCTGATGTTCCTTATTACTTGTGGATCTAATCTGTCTTTTATAAAGAGTTGTCTTCTTTGATCCAAGATGTTCTGAACGGTTTTGACTCTTAAATCTGGGAATTTTGTTGTCATCTCATTGTATAGTCTCTCTGCGTATGGTGTCTAATTCGTTTGCATTTCTGTGATTCTCAGGTTTCATTATTATTATTATTATTATTAATAAATAAATTTATATAGTATTTAACTTTAAAACTTACTAATAAAATACGAATCTTTAACTATTACCCAAGCAGTATTTTACGGATAACAAATAGTTAGCAATAGACTAGAGTATGTCAATTTTCCAATTCAAACACATTAACTGCCATAAGTCATAACCGACTTATTTACGAAACTGAATAACCCAATTAACTCTCGTTACTCTCACCTCACATGTTTCACCTGCCACAATGCAACACTCTAACGTATTAACAGTAGCTGTGCTGGATGACGATTAATAAGACATTAACACATTCAACAAACTTAGAAATAAATGGCTTTCAACGCTTCCACCGTTTGCTGTACTTATTATTATTAAATGGCAGAGCAGAAAGTTCGTCATGACAGATGATGAGGGGGCGAGGGCTCACGTTAGTCAAGATCCGACATTAATAAGTGAACATGGCCGTAAGCAGCGTGAATAATGGCTCTATCCCGGCAGCAGAGCAGGAGCCAACCAGACAGGATTATACCAGATTAACATAAGACACAGCGGGGCTTAGCGTTCTTCTGGCATTGAGTAATTACGGATGGGTTTTTATGCAGGATCCTGCTTTTTTTCGGATCTTAAATGATAATGGTGGCTGCTTTATTTCAATTTTAAAATCTTAATGTCGAGATTTGTAGATAAATCTCTTTGAGAAAAAAAAAACTGCTAATTAAAGGTGATACCTTTTGAACCGGTTGGGGTCAAATTTTAGTTTAATTGATTAATTGATACCGAAGGTAAAAAAGAAAAGAAAAGTGATAGGTTTCGAAGCAAGCTACTTCATCTTCAGACACACCTAAATAGATCATCAAGGTGTCAATGTATTGAAAAGTGAAAATATTTAATACAGAAAATAAAAAATTAAGAAAAACAAACAATTGATGTGAATAACAAGGTTAATAACAGTATCTTAAAAGTAAATTGTGCTAGGTAGAGTTTTTTGGAAAAAGTGTTATTAGCTGTAAATCACTTTTAGAAAAATGTACTAAAATGATTTATTCGCCTATCACATGTGAAAATGAATCATATTAACTCCTTAAAATATGACCGAAAGTAACGTATATCGTCCCATGAGCTGCTAAATTCATAACAACCCGATTTTGTAGTTTTTCACTAACTATCTAGATACCTTTGACTGTCACTGTAACTTGCGTACTTGACGTTTCACATAAATTTTGATTAAACGACAGTGTAAGTCTATTAGTGAACATGAATAGTCATTCAGACAGTGACAAGGAATTTACAAATACTCCACCAAACTTGCAAGAGGAAGCCAACAATGTTTCTCTAAATTTACTACCTACTAAGTCAAGAGAACGGTACGAAAAGTACTATGAATTGTTTAACAACTGGAAAAGGAGTAAAAAAGCAAAACCTAACTGAAAATGTATTACTTGCTTATCTTTCTGAAATATCAAAGATTGTAAATGCAGGTACAAAGATTTTCTTTATATTTTCCTTTTCTTTGTTTTTTTTTTTTGGTAGGCGAAAAACAATTGTGTGTCACACATGCAGAAAACGCTTTAGCAGCCCTTAGCTATCAGCTGCCCTCGCTTCGCTTCGCTCGCTCATGCAGCTAATAGCCGTGGACTGCTAAAGCTCATTTTCTGCCCTTGTGACACAATATACTATTAGTAAATTCATCCATAAAATAAAACATACTTATTACGGACTGGCATTCTACGTGTGCTTCTATTCGAAGAAGTAGCCATTGTTGTGTTGAAATAAGTTTATCAAATTAATATTGTGAAATCATTTACTTTTGTATTTCATAAATCCATACTGATATGAGAAAATCAGTTTTGTTATACAGGGTGGGCCATTAGTACGTGGGTGGAAGATTGCGGGTTTATTAAGGTACATTTTAAAAATTCATTTCTGGGGCATGGTGTATAACTTTAAAGGCTACAACCTCAAAATATTTTCGATTAAATTTCTATTGTTATACAGGGTGATTTACATCAAAGTTATGTTTTTTTAATAGGAACGCCCTGTATATTATTGCATATTTGGATTCCTCGGTCAATTTTAGTGTGACTTTATGTGTCACACATGGTATCTAAAATAAGTCGTTAAGCAGCAATTTATTATTTTTTCAAAAAGTAGATGTCTAGTAAAAATTGAATATCGCAGTTATTATAAAACTTAGAAGGCCGTGACTCTACAGTGTTACTAAGCATGAAATGTCCTAATATTTGCCAGACGATAAAAGTCAAACCCTTTTTGTGTTTAAAGTAATCGCTACGCCAATTTGCAAAATTTCAATCCAAGGTAACTTGATTTTTTTTATGTCATTACATGCAGAATTCGATTACCTTTCTAATGATATAAAAATATGTTGATATTCATTTTTTAAAGATTTCTTTTTATTTAAAAAAAAATCTATTAATTCACAGAATTTTTCAATCTTTCTAATCTCTTTGAAATTAGTAGACCGTTAAAAATTAAAAATAGCAATTTCAATTAAAAAACATTTAATTAAAAAAAATTTTAAAAATTAAAACAAAGAAAAACAGAAAACAAAAAATAAATAACACCACATCAAAATAAAAAAAACGATTATTTTAATAAATGTTCAAAATGTCTACCATCCTGTTCTAAACAAACTTTGATTCTTCGACGAAAAGAAATTTTAACCCTATCCAATATTTCTGGGTTAATTTCTTCAAAAGCGTTTCTAATCCTGTTTTTCATGTTTTCAGATGTGATTGGTTGTTCCGCATATACTTTTTCATTGATATAACCCTATAAAAAAAGTCCATTGTAGTAATATCTGGAGATCTAGCTGGCCATCGCAATGATCCATCCCTTGATCCACCTTCCATTAAATGTATTGTTGAGCCATTCGCTTACAACACGGGCACGATGTGGAGGTGCTCCATCTTGTTGAAAGTACATATCTCTAATTTGAGCAAGTGGTACCTACATCTTCAAGGCGATTAAATAAAAGGTTATTTAAAAAATTTAAATAAATTTCTGAATTTAAAACACCATCAAAAGAGAAAGGACTAATAACATAAGTGTCTATTATGCCTGCCAAAACATTAACCGACCATTTCTCCTGACTATTGACTCTGAAATAGTGAGGGTTTTCATCTAAATAATAATGAAAATTGTGCCGATTAATATAACCATTTCGGTGAAAGGTACACTCATCTGTAAACAAAATTTTTTTTAAAAAATATTCATTTTCATTTAATTTTTTTTCTGCCCAATTGCAAAAATTGAGCTCTTGGTGAAGTTAAAAATGATAAACATGGAATTTATTTTTATTTATTATTCTTCTGATAGAGGATCGGCTTATTTGAAAATCTCTTTCAAGTTGGCGAGTACTAGTATAAGGGTTTTCTACCACTGCAATTAAAATATTAGTTTCATTTTCTTCATTTAAAACAAATTTAGTTCTTTCTTATTTTTGGATATAAGAAACATTTCCTGTTGCAATAAACCTGTCCAAGAGATTTCTAAATGATTTTTCTCTTGGATGGCGTTCTCGTTCAGGATATATTTCTTTATAAACACGATGTACTGGGTTAAAAACAGTTTTGGGTTGCTTTTAAAACAGATTCGGGTTCTTTTAAGAAAACAAATATAGTGCGGAATATTTTCTATTAAGTGATGAGAGTAGATATATATTTTGTGGTTTTAGATAAATAAGCACAAATGGATTATAAACAGGTGAGTAATTATATACCTTAATGATTATTTTATATAAATATAAAAGATTTTAGGTAGTTTGAAAAGCAATTATAAATCGAAGATATCCTGAAGATTTAAAGGCTTGAAGAGCTTGAAATACAATGAATTAAAGTTTAGTAATTGCTGTAACAACCTACGGTAAGATGTAGTTTATTTCTAGAAATAAATAGTTAGTAAATAATATTAATAAAATTAGATTAAACAATAAATTTTATAAAATCAAAGCAAATAATCTTAAACGTCACCAATTGGGTGTAAAGACAAGTGCATAAAAAAAATGATTAGGTATAGATAAAGTTAGTATTTAAATATTCTTATCTGTTTTTCCAGGTCTTCTGACTGTTAACCATTAGTTGAGTCTCCAATTATCTTAAACCCAAAGAGATGAACTGGTTGGATTCCTTAACTAGTTTTATTTGATGTCTTTAAATTATTCGGTGTCTAGGAACCTCCGGGTTCCAGACTAGATATAGTAAAATCAAAATTTATACTTCAGATTGGAATTTGAATGGAAATGAGATTGAAAATCGGCATAAGAGTGATAGTCTGCTTAAGAGTGGAAGTCTGCATAAGAGGCCTAAAAATATATTGCCAAAATTAGGATGATAAAATGTTTAATAATATTCTTTTTTTTATAGGGGTTATTCCTTAAAAACACCTTGGATGATGGGTGGCCACAAAGGGGCTTCAACTGAAGTTGATATAAAAAAAGGTGAAAAACTTAAAATATTCGGAACCTTTATCCACAATGATGAGATTATTGTTTAGTATAAACACACTATCTTTTAGTTCACTAAATATGAGGTTTTTCGAAGAAAATCCGCAAAATGCTTTCTTCACGAAAAATAGCATATAAAATTTATAGTTATACAAATATATTTTATTAAATAAAGTTCATTTGTTTTGTTTTGACTCTTGAATTGCATTGAGGTTTGGAGAAAATTAAATTTAAATATTTATATGATTGAAAATATGATGAAACCATAAAAAAAAGGTAACTAATGTAAATTTTAACTATATTGCTCAGTAAGTTACTTTTAGCCCGTAACAACGACTTGCTAAAAACGGATTTCTAAAACATTCTCCGAGAATGAAAATCATATCAATTAATTCATTTTGGGAGTGACAAATTTACTTTATTTTCACAGCCTACTAATTAAAAGGTTTTAAAAATTAAAAAATACTG